GGTGGATGAAGGGAGCACGCCTGGCTCGGTCTGGGGAAGGCTCACAGGTGGTCGGGGTCAGGGGTACTCGGAGGAAGACGGCGGGAAGGACATGCTGACAGACGTGGAGACAGGACATTCTGGAGTGGAGACCACTGAGCACCCGTGCAGGGGATGCAGCCTCCCAGGGGACCAAACCTTGGCCACAGCTTGCTGCTTGCTGAGAGCATATGAGGGCAGAGAAAGACCCCAATGGTCCTAAACTAGCACCCGAGCCCTGACTTTCAGAGAGGAAGCCTGCACTGCCACCAACTGTGGCAGACGAGCCATTCCAGACCTCCGCTCACCTCGTGAGCTCAGCAAACTTCAGATACCTGATCTGAGCGCACCTGGGGAGCACCACCTGCGACTCCAGGACCCACTCCCGGCACTGGGAGTGCAAGATCTGGGGCTCGCTGCCCCCCTACACCACCCAGAGGCTCCCACCTGGCTGTTGGAAGATTCAGTGTGGCTGACACCCACAGGACTGTGGCCGCCCCCGTCAGGATGGCCTGAGTGTCACCTAACGGGCATCAGGCAATGCCCAGCAGAAGTGACCTGTGGGGAGCTGTGGAGGAAGAGGGACACGGTGACTACAGAGGACAGTGCCTCGCTCCACAGCTGTGACGTTAGCAGATCCCATCCTAGAACAAGAACACTCCTGAGGGACGCACTAAAATCAGAGCTTATACCAGGTCACTACAGGGCTCCCGTTCCAGGGACCGGCACCAGCCTTCAGCCAAACTGCAGCCTGTCATTCTTCAAAGGAGGGTCTCAAGCGGTCAGTGAGGCACCCCTCCCCCCGGAAAGGAGAGAGCACCGTGGAAAATCCCACCTCCCAGGAAAATACAGAAGCACCTACCACGCCGGTCACCTCCCCAGGCCCAGTTGACAGCCAGTCACTGACCCATGAGGGACCCCACCTGGCCGGCCTCAGCCCTGACCCCTTGCTACACAGTCTGGCTTTTCTCCTGCACACAGATGGCTGGCCACAGGCCAGCATCTTCACTGCTCACCTGTCCAGTCCGTGGCCAGTAGTGACCAAACTTGGAGCACCCAGCCTGGGGCTACAGCACTTACCCAGACACCTGACCCAGCATAAAAAAACGAGGTGGGGAAGGGCAGGAGGTTGGAATTGCTTTATTGGGGCGGGCACAGGCCCGTCCATGGTCAGGTTAGTACACTGCCCTTGTGGGCGGCCAGCAGCCGGCCTCTCTCCGCCTCCTGCCCAGGTTAGTGGAACATGCAAAGCGCAAAGGGTGAAGGCAGGACTGGAGACAGGAAAGGGTGGCACCGGGCAGGGGTACCCAGGACAGACACCCAGCAGCTGGCTTGGGCCAAGGGGAAGGGTTCCCTGGGAGAGATGGGTGGGCACTGCAGTGGGGCTCTGTGTGGGGGGGGGGACAGGACAACCCTGCCCAGCCCTTGGGTCACTCTAGAGCTCTGCATGGCCCACTGTTCCCACGCAGTGGCCTCGGGGGGGTCTGGGAGGACACAGAAGGCACTTACTAAGGACTCGGGGACCGAGGCTGGGGGGTTGCAGCCAGAGGCCTGTGACTGGGGGCCGGGCGTGTGGGACTGACACACCCTGTGGGGTCTGCAGAGTGGACCCCAACTTCCCATGGGGGTAGAGGCTTCTCTAGCTGCTGGAAGACATGGCTGACCTGGGACGCCCCACCCCAGTTAGGTCCATTGAGGACAAATGCTGACCTCTGGGGTGAACATCCTGAGAGGAGGGAGGCCATACTGGGGGACAGGGCAAGACTTAGCTGCAATCCTGGGCTGGGACTACCCTTAAGACAAGGAAGGGGCAGGGGCCCTGGGTCTGGGCCCTCCAAGGCACCTGGCTGTGGTGAGTGGCAGGTAGGGGCAGTGGGGAGACCCGAGGGGGCGGTGGTCAGGGGCCGACTGACCCGCCCCAGCACAGGCCGTCTGGACAGCAGGAATATATATTACTATGTTAGTCTGGTCTTTTTGGTTAGACTTTAGGCACCGCGTAAGAGGAAAACTCCTTTAGACATGGAGGGGGCCACACCTGTGGGGGGGCGCAGCCACATGCAGAGCGGGGGCGGGGCAGGCAGGGGGTCAGGCCACCGCAGGCTCGGGGCCCCCCAGCGAGGCAGAGGGCCCTGAAGCGTAGCGGCGGCCGTAGCCTGAGGAGGAGTAGGAGGAGGACGAGAAGGTCATGGAGAAACCGGAGCCAGTGGCATCAAAGCTGCCACGCCGAGAACCGGCCCTGGAGCCGGTGCGGGAGCCGGTGCGGGAGCCGGCAGTGGAGCCAGAGCCGCTGACGCTGTAGGGGCTGTAGTAGCCCTTGCTGGACTGGGCAGCGGCTTCCAGCAGCCGCAGCCCTGTGCCCTCCTCCACCATGCTGCGGTCCATTGCATCCTTGTAGGAGATCTTGAGCTTGGTCTTCGGGCAGGTGAGGTACTTGGAGTAGGCGCTGACATCACGCAGCTTCTGGGCAGTGCGGGCGTCCAGCGTGCCCTTCTGCAGGGCCTCCTCCAGCGGCACGCGGCCTGGCACGCCTGGCTCAATCAGCCCACCGGTCAGGTACTGAACCTCCAGGAACCGCTGGCCGGCCTCGTAGTAGAGCCAGCCCTTCTTAAGCGCCTGGGCAGCAGACATCTTGGTCTTGGTGCGGGGGTCCTCGAAGCCGCAGAAGGCCTTGTGGGCCAGGCTGATGCGATCCACCATGATCTTGTCCACCAGGCCCTTGTTGACGGCCTCCGTGACAGGGAAGCGCTCGCCAGTGCCAGGGTCAATGATGCCGCCCGTGCAGGCCTGCGCCTCCAGCAGCCGCTGCCCCGTGATGTTGTCCACAAGGTTGCGGTGCATGGCCTCGGTGATAGACACCTTCTCCAGAGTCTCGGTGTCGAGGATACCGGCCACAGGGCCTGTCTCCTCAGCGGGGTCGGACCAGGAGGCCAGCTGGGTGCGGGACACGGCGGGGCTGAGGGGGAAGGAGGAGGAGGAGCCCACGGAGGAGGAGCGGGAGCGGAAGCCGCCGGCGTTGCCCGAGAGCATGTCGGCAAACTCAGTGATGGACAGTGTGCCCGCACGGTACTGGTCCAGCGCCGAGCGGTCGATGAAGCTCTTGGAGATGGCCTCGTCAATGTCGTACTGGCGGCCGGAGCGCCGGTCGATGATCATGGACTTGACCACGCCGTCGGAGGAGGAGGTGGTGATCTCCTCCCACTCACACTCCTGCTCCGACAGCTCCAGGTAGGTCTGGTGGTCGATGAGGCCCCTGCGGTAGGCCTCGTACACGGACATCTCCTTCCCCGTCTCGGGGTCCACGATCACCACACGGCGCTTGCGCACCGACGACTTGGAGGACGTCTTGCGTTCCCGCTTCTTCTCCTTCAGTGGCAGCAAGCACAGCCCGGTCTGTGGGTCCGTGATGCATCGCTCCATCAGCTGCAGGTAGGTGAGGTTCTCCTCCGTGTTGGGATCAAAGAAGCCCTTGGTGTCGTCCGAGGGGTCGGTCAGGATCTCGTTCATCTCCTCGTCAAAGAGGCCACGCTGGTACGCCATCTGGACCGGCAGTCGGTGGCTCTCCTCGGGGTCGATGATGCCACCCGTGGCGATCTGGGCCTCCAGCAGGCGGATGCCGTGGTCCCTGAGGATCAGCCCCTTCTTCATGGCCTGGAACAGGGAGATGAGCTTCCCGGAGTACGGGTCCCTGTAGCCAGTGACGGCGCGCTCAGCAGACAGCAGCTTGTCCTTGAACTCGGGGCCCACAATGCCCATTCGCACAGCCTCCTCCACGGTCAGCTTCAGCCCCTTGATGGGATCGATAACATAGCCGGTGGCTGCCTGGGCCTCCAGCAACTCAAAGGCCGTGCCGGGCCGGATGATGCCTTTCTTCATGGCCTGGTACACTGACAGCCTCTCCTTGGTGGCATCCACAAAGACACCGGCGATGCAGCTGGTGCCCTCCAGGAACTTCTGCAGGTTCTTGGTGACCTCCTCAACGGACGTGAGGCCCTCCTGTAGCTGCAGCGCTGTGGCCTCGTCCAGCACCTGTGAGCGCACCAGCTCTTCCACTGTGATCTGCTTGCGCAGCCCACGGAAGGTCAGTTTGCGGGTGTCTGAGAGAGGCAGAAGCAGCTGGCCGGTCCTGTCGTCCCGGCGACACCGCTTGAGCAGCTGCGTGTAGCTGAGCCGCTCGTCCGTGGAGGGGTCCAGGTAGCTGCGCACCTCGCTGGGCTCCGAGAGCTGGTCATGCGTGTCCTTATTGAGGTAGCCACGCTGGTAGGCCACCTCCAATGGCAGGTGAAAACCCAGGCGTGGGTCAATGATGCCCCCCGTGGCCAGCTGGGCATCCAGCAGGCGCAGCGCCTCCTCGGCTGGGATCAGCTCCTTCTTCATGGCCTGGAACAGCGAGATGGTCTGCTCGGTGTAAGGGTCCCGGTAGCCGGTCACCGCGCGCTCTGCCGACAGCAGCCGGTCATGCAGCTCAGGCCCCACCAGGCCTTTCCGCACGGCCTCGTCCACCGTCAGCCGCTCGCTCTGGAGAGGGTCCAGCATGAAGCCCGTGGCTGCCTGAGCCTCCAGCAGCAGCCGGGCCACCTCGGCATTCACCAGCCCCTTCTTGAGGGCCTGGTAGATGGTCAGGGTCTGCCGGGAGCCCGGGAGGAAGATGCCGGCCACGCAGCCCGTTCCGTAGAGGTAGCGCCGGGCGGCCTCGGCCTCCAGCACCTCACGCAGGGTCTTGGTGCCCTCGCGGAGCAGCGTGTAGGTCTCCGTGGTGATGATGCGGGCCTCGTACAGGTCCTCCGCCGTGAGGCGCCGGCGCACGTAATCGTAGGAGGCCAGGTTCTGCTGACGGATGATCTCCGTCTTCTCGATGATCTCGATGACGATGATGATCATACGCTCCTTGGTCACGCGGCCAGCCCGGAAGTCCTCCATCAGGCGGGTGCGCTGCTCCGCCGGGATCAGGTCCGACTGCATCACCTCCCACAGGGACATGGAGCCAGCGCCTGGGCTGCCACCTGGAAGCTCGATCTGCGTCTCCTCGAAGGCCCGGCGTGTCTCCTCCTCTGTGTACACCTGTGTGGTCTCCACCACCTCGGGCCCCTCGGCAGCCTTCAGGGGCAGGAGGTAGAGCCCCGTCTCGGGGTCCTCCACGCAGCGCCCCAGCAGCTGCAGGTAGGTGAGGTTCTCGTGCGTGTTGGGGTCGAAGAAGCCCTTGGTGTCGTCGCC